ACTTGCCATATAATCTAAAAACTGAAATTTTGTTTCTCACATATTTGGTGGCAAAATCTAGTCAGACTTGCATTTATTTTGTGGCAAAATCATGTATGAAGCTATTTACAGACTCTATTTACACCACCCAAAGTGAAGAGTCTTATATTTAATGCAGAAGTATAACTGTGCATGTTATGGGCTTCTATTTGGATACATATGTTTGTTTATTTATTATTTTTTGGAGATAGGGTCTCACTATATAGCCTTGGCTGGCCTGGCACTCTCTATGTAGATCAGGCTGGCTTTGAACTCACAGAGATAGGCTAACTCTGCTTAAGGAGTGTTGGGATTAAAGGTATGTGCCACCATGTTTGGTTACTTTAATTTTAATTATGTACACGAGTGTATGTCTGTATAAAGTCATGCATGCATATGCAGGTGTCCCTGGAGGCTAGGAAAGGGTCTTGGATCCCCTGGAATTGGAGTTACAGGCAGCTATGGGCTGCCTGCCTGATGTGGGTTCTGGAAACCAAACTCAGGTCCTTTGCAAATGCTCTTAACGGCCGCATCTCTAGTCTCCTTAAATGAGGGTTCCTTGATAAAGCACTTCTATATTCTACGTGATGAGAGCACACTGCTTGCTCTTAACTCAGACGGTACCTAAGGACGATGCAAGGCTCAGAGGCCTTGGGAGCATGCAGACCGGACTGCACAGGAGGATAATGAGGGGGCAGTGTTATGAATTTCAGAGACAGGTCAACTACCTAACCATAGGGACCAGACTGCATTCTGCAGTGATTGCCTGGCTGGTCTTTGTTCCCATTGTCTATCAAGTCTGCTGGCTAGAAAGGGGCTCTAAAGACAGCTCTTTAGAATGTCAATCTGCAGTTTTCCCATACAGCCCGCTCTCTCCAGAATTCAGTTCCTGTCTCTGAACATGGTGTTGGCAGTAACGCACCATCGGAACTTCAGTATTTTAGCTATGGACTGAGGGTGACAATGGTCTCTCTAGCCAGGCACATTCTCAGAGCTCCGGGAGAGAGCACTGCGTAAGAGGATGCTGTGGACATTTTCTAGTATCATCCCTTGCGCCCCACTTTACTCCGTAATAAACTCAGTACATCTTCTACACTGAAAAAAGAAAGAAAATAGGAAGACAATAGAGTACGTCTTTCTTTTTTGCTTTTACGCTGAGTGCTCTAAGTATTATTAGTTTGGTGTGTTGTTTGATTTTTATTTACATTTTAATTATATATTTAATCCTCCCCCCCCCCATGTATGTGTGAGAGGGAGATTCTGCCTGCCTGCCTGCCTGCCTGCTACTTTTGAGATTTATTTCTCTCTAACTTTGTAGGATCAGGGAATTGAACTCAAGTCTTCAGGTTTGGCATCAACCACCTTTACTAATCTGTATTGGTAAAAACTGAGCCTGCTCTAGGTCGGTTTGCCTACACTTGTCTATCCTGTAAAGATAGGCTTTACTGATTCATTATTGCTTTGGTTACTCTAACACTTAATTACATTGTTCATTCACTTATTACATAAGAGTTTACTTGCAGAGACATTGTTTATAGAGGCAATTCACACTGCCAACTTGGTAACCTGGCTATGGGCTCTGAGTGCCCCTGGGACAGGGAAATGTGAGTTAGAGAAAGGGCTTCATGGTGTGGTTTCCTTATTTCATGGAGGTTTGTGAATTCTAGACTAGGCTCATTTGTGTCTAGCTGCGAAGGCACAACAGCAATAAGTAATCTTCCTATGTCCTGGAGCAAAGAAGCAGAGGCCAGAAGTGTCAAGAACACACACTTGCCATGCTTCCCCACTTCACATGTTAAGATCTAATGCATACAATGTTGCAGTATTCAGAGGTGGGCCATTTTGAAAGGTGATTAGTGTTTTTACAGAGAGAGCCCACTTGGGCTGGGGATTTGGTTCTGTGGGAGAATGACTGCCTAGCACATACAAGGTCTGGGCTGGATTCCTCAGCTTGAGGGGGTGTAGGAAGAGGCGCTTGAGCCTGGGCTACATTCTTAAGACCACTGTAAAACAAAAACAAAAACAATACTCCAAACAGAGAAATAATACAACCATACAAGCAAACAAACCCAAGACAAACTCTCAACTCTATTTATTTATTTATTTATAAGGGCAGCTTGGGCACACAGACTGGCTTGAACTAGACTCAGCCAGACTCCCCCAGACTCAGGCTCCCCAGTGCTAGGCTTATTGGCATGCACAATGGTGCTGGGCAAAACTAAATTCTGAAATGCAGCAGGAAGAAGAATCTGACACATAACTGTAGCCTCGGCTCACAGGCAGTAGAGGCTGGAGGCTCACTACAAGTCAAAGGCTAAGCTGTTCTATACAAGTTCCAAGACAGCCAAGACTACATGGTGAGACCATTGAAAAAACTCAATTTGGATGTAGAGCAATGAGATGGAGTTCAAATACTGGCTCTGCTGATTCTAGCTGTGCTACCCTCAGTTTGCTTTTTATCGCCCTAAAAGAGTTCAGGGTAAGAGCATAAACATCTATCTGCTTTGTGGGGTGGTGTGGGGATCAGATGGCATCTACCCGAAGGGCTCAGCATTTTATCATCAAATCAGACTCCTCTGGTTATTATGTTTTCACGGCTTCTGATACTTTTAAGTTTTCTGCTCTCTGGGGTGGGCAGAAGAGGAATAACGGAGAAAAGGAATTGAAAGGAGAATATGGGAAACAAAATGAACAAGAAGTTTGACCATTGCCAGGGAATCAAAATAGAAACTCCTCTGTTTCCATGGAAAATGGTGAAAATCTGCAAAAGGAGATAGCATTGCAAAGGCACACCTTGTGTAGAATAGATTGTGCCCAAGGATCCTTCCAGAAGAGAGAAGTTTGTGTATTTGTTAAGTGGAGGGCTAGAGGTATAAGGGAGTACTTAGCATGTGTGAAGCCCTAAGTTCATTCCCAACACTGTGTCTCCTGCTAAACACATTATCTGTGAGAAGAGCAGGGCTAACACGCTGTGGGAAGGATCTAAACAGATGTCCTGAGGAGTATGTTCAAGGAATTCTAGAAATCATACCGGAGAATGAAAAGATACGAAAGAGGAGAACAGCAGCTACAGAGTGTTCTAGAGGTGAGCATGTCAGAGTGTTTATACAAGGGTTTGTGATCCCTGAGATGCTTGCTCAAATGTCCCATTGTATCAGGGTCCTGCTGGGTCTGAGGAGGGGTCTTGTGAACTTAGTTTCAACAGGATCACACAGTAACACCCAACATAAGTACATGCCCAGACAGAAGGACCAGCCTTCAGACCTGACCCTGAACCAGGTCGCTCTTCTTTCTGACAGCCTGAGCTTCTCTTGCGGGTGTCTGTAAGTTTACTAGACTGACATTTCTTTGGTTCTGTCCTTTTGAGGAGGCAGGCCTCTCAGAGGAGGGCGGCTGTCATCCCCAGTGGGTAGGAGTCCTTCTTACTCTCTTTTGCTTATTGTCTAGTACAGTGGTTCCCTGTCTCTCTCCAGGCGATATTTAAAACGTTGGGGGTTTTTGTTTGTATTTAGTGGTGTGAGGGGGGTGCACTTACTCATGGGCAGAGCAGGTGTCAAAGCTATCCTTCTGCCAGATAGAGAGTTCTCTCTTATCCCGATTTTCGGAAGTCCCCTAGGACATTCATGTAGGTGAAAACTTTCATTTAATTATCTGAGCCTAGAACTTAATAGTTTTTTTTAATGGTCTGAATAGGCAGCGAACTTTCTAGGAATACAATTACAGTTCCGTGTGAGTTTAGGGAAGCTTGACTTTGCTACCAAGAGTTGCTCAACATCCCCTGAAGTCACTTCATTGATGGCAACGTGCCGTTGGTATTTGAGTCACTGGCTGTGCACCTGTATCAGTGTGTGGTAGACGTTCCGTCTCTGTGATTCTATGGAGAGGTTTAAGCGTCTTCCTGCTTCGAATGAAACAGCACTCATGCACCAAAACACTGTTATTTTATTACAAATTGCTATGCTTTTGTTTCCTCCTCATAGATGGGGAAATATTTTGACCTTTATAATCACTTGCCCAGGAAAGTGATGTAATCCATCTATGGGAATTAGTTTGTAGTTTAATATTTGTTCCTAATACAGGATTGAAGGTTGAGAGACTCACTTGGGTCTCACAATATGTGGTTCCCTCTCACCTTCCTGGAAGAATTAGCCACAGAGGAGTGCCCCTCCTTTTTTCTTAGCAGGACTCCCTTTCTCTTCTTTCTATCCATCATCATTATTAAGGACAAAGGCAACACAGGCACTCTGGCTGTCAGACCTCTCTGCCACGGCCTCCAGTTTACCGTCAAGGATCCGAGTGTGGATGATAACACAGGCTCCAGCTCACCTGGAGGCTCTCTTTTCTTTATGTCCCCTCCTTTCTCCGTCTACCCCAGTGTCTTTCCTTGATGCCCCAGGTCTTTTGCTCCCTTGCCATTGACCGACAAGAAGCTTACTGCTGGACCACAGAGCCACCCTGAGGTCCCAGTTCCGATTCTCCTACCCCATTTTTCTCCCGCTTAGGTGGCTCCTGGTGCCCCCTCCACCTTTAGCTGCCCTTCTGACCCTGGCTTCTCCCTTCTCTTCCAAGGTCTGTTCTCCAAGCCCTTGCTATTTGCTTCCCTCTTTTTTTTGGCAGGATTCAGGTCTGTCGCCCTTCTCTTCTTCCAAACATCCTTTTCTCCACCTTCATCCAGGCTTCTGTCTCCGTTCCGGCTCCCCTCCCTTAGGCTCCGGTCGCCTCTCACCCCCCGCCCCCCTCCCGTCTCCTGCAATCTAGCCCGTAGATCTCTCGGCAGCGCTCAGTCCCCGCCCGCCGGTGTGCGTGAGCACCCCTTGTCCCCTCCATCCTACCTCTACTCCCTCCCGCGCCGTGGGCGGTCTAGGGAGGGGCTGGGATCCGGGGCGGCTCCCCGGGCTCGGGTTGTGGGAGGCGCCCTCTCCCGGTCTCCCCCTCCCTTCCCCCCGCCCCGTCTTCCCCTGCACCCTCCTTCCTCCCTCCGCCCGAGAGCTTCCCCGGTCCCCGGCGCCGCCTCCTTCCCTCCCGGCTCCGCGCTTTCGCAGCCGCCGTCGCCCCGGGGAAGGAGAGACGGGGGTGGGGTTTGCGGGTAGTGAGAAAGGAGGGGAGAGACCCCGGCTGGCTGGAGCCCGGATTCCTAGGGAAGAAGGACAGGGGGAGGGGAAGCTGGAGGACCGGGCGGGAGAACGGGGAACAGCGGCCGGGCCTGGGGCCTTGAGGCCCGGGGAGAGCCGGGGAGCGGGACCGGGCGCCGAGGTAAGAGCAGGGCCCCAGGAGCAGGGCTTGGAGAGGGGCGCGCAGGGAGGCCGGTGGACGCAGGGCAGGGCCGGGGTTTGGGGTCGGGTGTAAGTGGCAAGCGATGGGGCAGCGGACCCCGGAGCGTGGGTAAGCTGGGCTAGCGCTAGCCACCGGGGCGGCGGAGAGGAGGTGGAGAGAGGTGGAGTCCCGGGAGGGTGGGGGGCCGAGGGAGGCCGGAGGAGGGTGGGGACAGGCGCTCTCTCCTCCTCTCCCCCTAGCCCGTGCGGCTCCGCCCCCGCCTCCTCCGCGGGGCGCCCTCCGCGTCCCGAACCGGGCGGTCGGAGCCTGTGAGGCGCGCAGACCAAGGTCTGTCTGTCGGCTGGTCCAGGCCGCTGCCGGCGGGCTCCGCCGTGCTCTCACGGCCGCCGTTTCCTCAGATGCTGCTGCTGCTGGTGCCTCTCTTCCTCCGCCCCCTGGGCGCAGGCGGGGCGCAGACCCCCAACGCCACCTCGGAAGGTGCACCCTCCTCCGGCGCCCCGGACCTCTTCCACCCTCCAGTCCCTTTTCCTGCACGTCTCCTTTCCTCATCACTCCCGCGTCAGAACCCCACCCCCACCGCCTGGCAGCCACTTCACTACTTCTGACCTCTTTTCTGTCACCCCGCATCACCACCAGCACCCATTTCCTCTGCTTCACGTTGCTACACTACACCTCTTTTCTGTGACCCCGAATTATCTTCGCAGCCCCACCTCCCTTTCCGGGCCCCACATTACTACAGCGCCCCCCTTCCGTGGTCCACTTCATTGCTCAGATGGGCTTGTATGGTCCTCTTCTCATTCAGCTCCGATATCCTTCTTTAGCCCTATTCCCCCATTTTAACCACCGAACATTATAGCCCTTACGATTTCTTCTTAGCTATTTTTCTCCATTACATTCTATCGGTGGAATCTCGCATCAGCATTAGCCCTAACCCATGACTCTGGGTTCTGCAGCTCGGGGTTCTTAACTGTCCCCACTCCTACCTTCTCCCCCCCCCCAACCCCCACCGGGTTTCTGCCCCATCCTGGGCCCTACCATTGACCACACCCTGCTCTTCCTCCTTCCACTGCGGCGCTGCCTTCCCGCTCCCACGGTTCCCCTGTGCCTTCCCACTCCCTCTCAGGTTGCCAGATCATACACCCGCCTTGGGAAGGGGGCATCAGGTATCGCGGCCTGACTCGCGACCAGGTGAAGGCCATCAACTTCCTGCCGGTGGACTATGAGATTGAATATGTGTGCCGGGGGGAGCGCGAGGTGGTGGGGCCCAAGGTGCGCAAGTGCCTGGCCAATGGCTCCTGGACGGATATGGACACACCCAGCCGCTGTGGTGAGTAACCTGGGAAGCGCCCCCTCCCCCCTTCAGGTCGTTCCTTCCCCAAGTTGCAAACCAACCATAGTTATTTTGCAAGTCAGCAATTTAAATACGGTGGAAACAAATTCACAAATACGTTTAATGAATGAGTACTATGTAGGAGGAGGGGTGTTGCTGTAAGCAGTTAGTGGGAGGAAGCAAGCCAGCAGCCAGCACATTCACTTCATCCTCTTTATTAGGGTACTGATCATTGGATGAAATAACTTTGATTTTTCATCTGAGTTCTTTGAGGATCATTAGTGAGGTTTTTTTTTAAAGTTATAAAACGATTTCATTACATTTTCTGACACTTTTGTCTCCAACTTAATGACCATATAAGCCAGTTTTGTAGTATTATAGACCAGCCATAACAAGAAAAGCAACCTGATCATGCATCCAAATTTACATACATCTACACATTTCAAAGGCAGAGAACTACCCACTTTACGGTGCTGTGAGCAATTTCTATTTTGTGTGTTTATAGCTCCATCTTGAGTTCCTACAATAGAATTGCTGTTTCTTTTTTTCTGGTAGGAATGTGGATACAGGGACTGGGGAGAAAGGGAGAGGTAGGGAGGCATAGCCATTGCACACCTGGTTTCCTGTAGAGCAGGGCACTTGTGAACCCAGACCCAAACCCGAGTTCCCTGTACTCCCAAGGGGAAATCCTCTACAACTTGCCTTTCTTATTTTCCTGTCTCTCTACAGTCCGAATCTGCTCCAAGTCTTATTTGACCCTGGAAAATGGGAAGGTTTTCCTGACGGGTGGGGACCTCCCAGCTCTGGATGGAGCCCGGGTGGATTTCCGATGTGACCCCGACTTCCATCTGGTGGGCAGCTCCCGGAGCATCTGTAGTCAGGGCCAGTGGAGCACCCCCAAGCCCCACTGCCAGGGTGAGGGGAACAGCTGCCTGCCTGCAGCTGATGAGATTGTTTGCAATAGAGTGGGAGTGGGGTGGGAATGGATAGAGGGGAAGGAAGGGTGGGTGTTAGGAAGAATGCTGAGGGGACTTGGGGAAGACAGAGGTGAAAGCCCAACCCTCCACCATGCACCTGCCTCAGACTTGTCCCACAATCCTTTGCACTCACTTTGATGGGCTTCCCTCCACTCCGTTTTCCTTTAGTGTGTTCTTCCTGCTTTCAAGTCCTGGGCCTTTTGTTTTCTCTTTTTCTTCATGAATGTCACCCTCCCTCACCTTCTTAAAGTTTAGTGACTCAGATTTTTCTCCTGGAAAACCCACCCCCTTTCTGTAGACTTAGCACACCCTATGTATCACTCTTCTAGTATTGATCCTTCGTTATTCATTCTATAATGGAATTACTGTAAATATTCAGAATTAAATCGCACATTACATTTAGAAAAAAATAACCGGTGAGATCTGGAATTGGAAACATATGGAAGAGGCAAAAACGGGGACAGAATGATTAGACAATAAGGACAACTCAAGGGCAGATGGGAAGCAACCTTGGTCATTCCTTGAGGAAATCATTGTTTTTGTGATTGCCACCTCTTTGCCCTACTCTTTGTCTATTTCTGCAAACATCTTCCTTTTCTGGGCACCCAAACTCTTGTATATTGTCTTCTCTCCTGGAATGAAAATTAAGCTTCAGGGTTCCTCAGTTTTGACTAAGCCTCTGTTTTGAGCTTTTAAGAATGTGTTCATACGCTAGCCAACTTTGGGAGAATTTTCTAAATTAAGGTATTTAAACAGCAATCATTTAAAACCAATTGTACTTGTAGTTTTTTTCTTAAAGAGACTATAGATATTTATAATATTCAAACTCTACAAAACAAGCTATACCCCGACCTTCTTTACTTGCTGGCACAAATTCTGTTGTCCTTTGATAAATAAAGAAAACACCAAGTCCTGACCCCCAGCCCCGCCTTGCTCTTATCCCCAGGCACCCTTCCCTCAACGCAGTCTTCCCTCCGCATGAACAGGTGTGGGAGGGGGCTGGGGATCAGGCCTGGGAAGCTGGGCGCCACTGGTAACTCTTCTCTGATCCCCGTCTTTCCTGCTGCCAGTGAATCGAACGCCACACTCAGGTGAGATCAGAAACCCTTCCCACGTGCACTGCCGCCCCCATCCCTTAACTTCACCCTCTACCAGCAGGATTTCCTTCCCTAGGTTGTGGGTGTCTTATTATTTATCTTCCCCAACCCATTCTAGTTTGCACCCTCGCCCTCCTCTCCCTACCTGTTTCTTGCCGCCAAATCGTGGTTTTCCGCGGGTCGGGCTACCTCCCATCTCCCCGCTTGGCCACGCTCTTCGGGCTCGCGCTCCTCTCGGACTCAGCTTCCGAGCGCGAAGCCCGGTAGGGGGCAGCTGTGTTCTGGGGATCCCAGGTCTCTCCATCGTGGGGTTCCTTCAGACCTCGGGGACCTATTCCTGCCACCCACTACCTAGGTTTTACCGGCGAGATTCCATGGGCCCTGCTCACCGGTCCCACCCATGCGAGGCCTCGCATCCTCCTTAGACCGTTTCTCGCATCACCCTTCCTCAAGCCTTCCCTCAGCCACACTATCCTTCCCCTAATGCTCACTTCTCGATCCCAGTCCTCACTTTCTCAACCCGTATCTGTCTGCAAAACCTTTCTCATCACTCTCGGTCTTCCCACCCTTAGTCCTTCGCTCCATCTTCCCATAGCCCCTTTAAGAACTGTCACCAGCCCCTCCTATCCAACCCACTCTCGCTTCTCTTCTTTGCTCTGTGCTTAGCCTCTCACATTCCAAATCCTGTCGGTCTCCTCCCCTCCAGTCTCCTTCGCGGAGGAGACCCCTCCCTTCCTTGCTGTCTCCCTCCTCTCCCCTCCCCTCCGGGCCTCGGTGCTGGCTCCTATCCCCGCCCCCAGCCCGTGACGTCAAGGCCCCCCAGCTCCTCTTCTCCCTCCTCCCTTCTGTCGGTCGGTCAGTCGGCGAGGAGAGTCCGCGGTGGCGGGAGCGAGCGCCGCCTGGCCCTAGGAAGCCCACGTCTCTGCCTTCCTGGGGCTCTGGCCCCCTCCTCCCGATGAGATCTGGGATGGAGGCACCTCCCCGACGCCCTCCCAGCAGCCTTTCCCAGAAGAAGTGTCCCCCCTGAGCTGCCCCCACCCCAAGGAGGCCGCCCCCGCCCCTCCTCGCCATGGGTTCGGGGGGCCCCTGTCTCCCGGTATGGTGGCCGCTGCCGCTTCTTCTGGTGATGGCGGCTGGGGTGGCTTCGGTGTGGGCCTCCCACTCCCCCCATCTCCCGCGGCCTCACCCGAGGGTCCCCCCGCACCCCTCCTCAGAACGGCGTGCAGTGTACATCGGGGCGCTGTTTCCCATGAGCGGGGGCTGGCCGGGGGGCCAGGCCTGCCAGCCCGCGGTGGAGATGGCGCTGGAGGACGTTAACAGCCGCAGGGACATCTTGCCGGACTACGAGCTCAAGCTTATCCACCACGACAGCAAGGTAGTCGGGGTGAGGGACAGAGTGGCTGGGGTAGTGGGAGGCCAGGGCTGTGAATCCTCTTTGGGATTGCGAAGCAGACCCCTCTCGAGTGTGACTGGCTGGAGACGCGCAGGAGGTGCAGGAGCTTAGGGATGTCTCAGTGGCTCTCAAGGCCGACTCTCTTGCAGGCAGTAAGAGATTCGCAAAAATGGTGGGGGGTCTTAGGTACTGGTCCTTTGGAGTAAACTATCCCTGGCCATGTTTGGGGGCTGGAAGGAACGTCAGAGCTGGGCAGCTGGCTCAGGGGTTTACATTTACCATGGTAACAAGGTAAATCTTGGCGTAGGTTGGGGCTTAAAGGAATAGGAGGAGAAGGGGGAGGATTTTGAGGGACAAGAGGGTTCTACTTTATCAAAACAAACAGTAAGGTAGGGCTGCATGACTCCTCATCTTCCTTGTGGGGGATTCCTGTGAGAATGTGTGGCCTAGGGCTCTGGGAAAGACTAATAATAGTCAAGAGGTGGGCTTAGGCACTGGGAGAGAGTGTATTGGGGTCCATTAGGAGTCCCTACAGCAGCATTGGGGGTGCAGCGTCAGTGTTCAGGGAGATCAGAAAAGAATGGAGAAGGGAGGGGGCGGGGAGGAGGGTGGGGACAGTGAAGAACCCTGGGGCTTCCTGTGGAACTTGGGGTTCTGGGTTTATTATCATGGCCTAGTGGTTTTGAAAGGAGAAACAGCACGCAGGGTTGGGAAAAGGATAGAGGGGAGAGGATCATGGTGAAGAAATTTGGTGTTAGAGTCTGGTCTATGATAAGATTTCTTTACCAGGTTTCTCCCTAAGTGGGAACTGACAGGACAGAAGGAAGGAGGTTTGGGTCCTTTCTGACTTGTGGCTCCAGAGACTTGAGATTAGGGAAAACAGTACAGGTGGGAGATTTGGCCATTTTATACTTGGGGTGTGTGGAACATAGATGTGGACCTCCAAAGGGGGCAGAAATGAGCCTGCAAGCCTAGTGCTAGGGGATGGGTTGGTAGGGGCTCGGAGAGAAAACTTAAAATTCCCTGTATTGTTGCCTTCTCCGTGGGTCTCAAGCATCAACAAACAAGAATCTCCATTCGTCTAAAACACTAGTTCAAACTCCTTAGTTGGGAAGGAATCCCAAGTAGTATATCTTCATTCTCATCCACAGAAATCCTGCCTAGAAAATGCCTGCCTGCAGCTTACCCTAGGATTCCAATGGAAAGAATGGCAGGGCGCAGGGAAGAAAATGCCATGTGAGGGTAGGGAGGCAGGAAGAGAGAGGGCCTTGATCTCTTTAGAGAGCAAAACAGATAATTGGCCGTGAGGGGGAACTAGAAAGAGACAGAGATGAAGCAGGCTTTGGGATGGGGCATGGCAGGAAGGCAGGGGAATCTGAGGTAGGGGGCTTGGAGAAGGCAGAAGTGAAGGAGGGGGTGTGGCAGAGGATAGGTCTAGGCCCTTGGTTGGTAAGAGGGGAACCCCATGGAGGGGGACTTTGCAGTGATGAGTGTGGTGTGGAGGGGAGTATGTAAGAACAGGAAGGGAGGAAATGAAGCAGAAAATGGCACACACATTAGGCCACACATGCCCTGCTTTATGTAACTGAAGGTTTCTGAATATCCTTATTGTTCATATTAAGTAATTTCTTCAGACAAACGGCAGAGGGACACTGGGAGAAGCTGGGGGCAGTCTCTATTCTAATGTAAGTTGGGAAGGACCTCACAATGGTAAAAAAAAAAAATGCAAAGATGCTCTAAGTAGGAGGCATGGAAGTGTTCCAAACCTACAGGTGAGCCCTGCCCTTGACAGGGCGAGAGAGCAGAGCAGCTCGCAATTCAGAGTGAATTTTTTGGGTGCTCAGATTTGCCAGCTCCCCCTGACTCCCTGGGCTTCACGTCTCCAACTTCCCACAGTGCCTCAAATGTCAGGCCTCAGTGGGGAGCAAGCAGACTCCAGGTGCCTTCTTTATTTCCTTTCTAACCCCTTCCGCTAAGTTCACTCTCTCCAGTCCCCTGTGACCCTCTGCTCTGACTCCCCACTGGTTGCCATTTCTTCTCCACTTCTTTTGGGGGCTCCAGCAGCTTCTGAAATGTCATACTTCAGCAGGAGGGGAACAGACAGTGGGGGACCCATGGCTGGTTCTTCCTCCCCAAATTTTCCTCCTACCTTTTTTTTTGCTCTCCAGCTTTCCTGGTGCGTCTCTTTCAAGCACCTCTAATATCATTCTGCTTGTGGAGAATTCCATTCTATTTATTTTCCTCATTTTAGAGTCTTCCTTAACCCCCCTTTTTCTAATTGACTTGTCAAATGTCAGGGCCCAGCAGGAAAGGATGGGGTGCTGAGCATATCCCCTACTGATCTTGTTCCTATTGTCTCAAATTGAAGGTGAAAATTTCATTAAGAAAGCTGTCTGGGGCTCTGGGATGTGTGTGTTCCTGCAGACTTTCTGGGCAGATGTGCAGAGGCTATAAACATGGGATGGAGGGTGGAGGGCAGGCAGAGATGACCAAAGAGAATAGGTTTAGGGATGATTGAGGATGAGCAGAAAAGGGGAGGGTAGAATGGGCATTGATATGGAAGGGAGAACGTGCAATAGTGAGTAGGGCTAAGGTTCCAGATGGAAGACAAGAGAAGGGAGCTCAATGAAAGAGGGAAAACTAGAAACCTGAGAGGAAGTAGAAGGTGGTGAAAATGATGGGAGTGAGTAACTGAGAAAGGCGCTAGGTTGTCCAAGACAGTAGGCATTGCAAGATGTGTGTGTCTGTGCGGGGGTGGGGGGGACTGGGAGCCAGCTTCATTTCCTCCTCCTTCCTTCAGTGTGACCCAGGGCAAGCCACCAAGTACTTGTATGAACTGCTCTACAATGACCCCATCAAGATCATCCTCATGCCAGGCTGCAGTTCTGTGTCCACACTTGTAGCCGAGGCTGCCCGGATGTGGAATCTTATTGTGGTATGCAAGGGGGTGGAAGGGAGGGTCGTCTCCTTTTGGGCTATGCTAAGTAAAGGGATTGTGGTTATGTTTAAGAAGACTAGGGAGAGACCCACTGCCAGGATCGGCCAGCAGAGAATCTGAGCTGGTTGACCTTCTGGTAGCATTGCCTGAAGGAGCTATGGGGTTCCATGATGAGGATTGGTATGTGTGTGTTCATAGGACATCGCTTTTCATAGGACAAAGGTGGGGAAGTTTGCAGAGTTGGGAGGAAAATGCAAGCCTAGAAAGGGCTAAAGACACTCCTGGAATCCTCCGTTTTCACGGACACTTCCCATCCTTCTGCTCCAGCTCTCCTATGGCTCCAGCTCACCAGCCCTGTCAAACCGGCAGCGTTTTCCAACGTTCTTCCGAACACATCCATCCGCCACACTCCACAATCCCACCCGGGTGAAACTCTTTGAAAAGTGGGGCTGGAAGAAGATTGCCACCATCCAGCAGACCACAGAGGTCTTCACCTCAGTGAGTCCGGACAGGGGATGGGACGTGAGGTCCCAGGGGCATCTGCTCTGTTGTGGGAGATCTGGATGGTTTATCAAAAGTGAACACATTCCAAGTGGGCGAAGCGCTTGTTCTTTCTGTAGCCTGGGGAACACATGAGTTGGATTTTTGGAATCCTCGCCATCGTTTTGTTTTGCTCCCCAGACAGATAGGATTCTGCTCTATGGAAGTCGGTTTCATTCCGAGTTGAGATGAGAGGGAATATGAACTAGGGAGGCAGTGGGTTCCAGTGCCTTCAGGGGTGGACAGTGCTTGGCAGCTGAGTGTGGAGCTACTGGATGGGGTGGGAAAGAAGAGGATGAAGGCACAGGCAGACAAATAAGAGACACATGACAAAGGTGTGGGTTTGGTAGTTGACACGGAGAGATGCTCATAGATATTCTGAAGAGAGATGGCGAGTTTGCAGAGGTGGAGGGGAAATGCAGGGCTCCACACTTGAAGGAAGGAGCCTGATTATTCTCTTTGGGTTTTCTATGAACTGATTATGTTCAGTGACCCTTTAGTCCTCCCTTCCCACCTTTTCTCAGTGACTCAGTCCATTTTTCCTGTGATCCTTTTGTCTGCCTTCCCACTTGCTGCTTGAGTTGGCATCATTCTGTCTATTCTGGACTCTGCCCTGCTTCTGTTTCCTCTCATTCTCTGTGTCATGAGTGGGGTGGATGAGGCAGTGTCCCTGGATACAGACCCCGAGGAAGGGCTCATCATGCATCTTGGACTGGGGGTGCTTTATTCCATTCTGTTGGATTAAGAGTCAGATACTACGCCTTTGCCGTGCATTCACATCCAGTTCCTGCTCATGAGCTCTGCTCTATCCTGTACGCTGTACCCCATCTCCCTCCTTCTTTCTTATTCCCACCCAAGACGCTAGATGATCTCGAGGAACGAGTGAAGGAGGCTGGGATCGAGATCACCTTCCGCCAGAGTTTCTTCTCAGATCCAGCTGTGCCTGTTAAAAACCTGAAGGTGGGCGAGCAGGGGTGGTGGGCTCCACCTGCCCAGGGGTCATGGTGGAAGGTGGTCAGCTAGAAAGGAGACTCTGGAAGAGGCAGTTGTTCATTCGGCGAGGCAGCCGAGTCTCCGGGGAAGGTTTAGTTCCATCTCCAGTTGACATTTATCCACTGCCCATTGAACATTTTTTTTTTTTCACTAAGCAGTGGGAGTTGGGAAATCAACGCTTCAAAAGCACTGGCTTAACCCTCGGGCGCTTTCAGCATCCCTCAGGAGTTCTGTTTCTGTTTTATAGCGTCAAGATGCTCGGATCATCGTGGGACTTTTCTATGAGACTGAAGCCCGGAAAGTTTTTTGTGAGGTGGAGATGGAATCTGGAGCCGGGAGGGGCTGGATGGGCTCTCTGTGGTGGTTTTCTCGTGGTCCTCCCTGTGGCATTTCTGCTCAGATTGATAGCAGAGAACCCGAGGTGATAATGAATACCAAGCCCGCCTGTAGGCTCTGATCCACCGCTTGTCTACATTCAAGCATGCACATACACTTTCCCGTTTGCCTCTTTTGTGTTTTAACAGAGGCATCTTGTTGAGCCTTCCCTGTGATTTGAAGATTTCAAAAAAAAAAATATATTATTAAATTTTTAGGTTAGCATAGAAAGTAATAGGTTTCGGTGAAGATTAAAAAAGAAAGCCTTGTTCTTTGATTCTCAAGAGGCTAAACAGTATCTAGAGAGATAACACCGCCTCCCTCAGAACAAAACCAAACCTCAAATGCTCCCTTGCCCCTTCGAATGCAGGTCTATAAGGAACGGCTCTTTGGGAAGAAGTATGTCTGGTTCCTCATCGGGTGGTATGCTGACAATTGGTTCAAGACCTATGACCCGTCAATCAACTGTACAGTGGATGAGATGACTGAGGCAGTGGAGGGCCACATCACCACTGAGATCGTCATGCTGAACCCTGCCAACACCCGAAGCATTTCCAACATGGTGAGGGTGGGGGCTTGGAAATCAGCACCGGGGAAGGGGAGGGGAAGGGAAGAAGAGAGGTCAGCGGTGGAGTCCGGTGGCAGAAAGGGGCCTGTGCCCATATTGGATTTGTTTGCACCGTGTTTTGTTAGTTCTGCCTGTGCTGCGATTTCCTTGGGCAAGAGAGGAAACTAGTGTCATGTACAGTGGGCTCTGACAAGCGGAAGGGCTGTTGCCATGGAGACAAGGAGCAGTTGGTGAGAAGCCAAGTGAGGGAGAGGCGTTAATGGTAATATAGAAGCACACCTTTTCCAGAGAGCTTCTCTTGGCACAGGTGTGTTTTTATGTATTATTATTGTTTTTATTTATTATTTGTGTGTGTGACTTATGTTAGTACCTCAGAGAGTTGCTTAATATTCATTCACCTCCCCCCCCCCCTTTTTTTGAGAGAATCTCTTTGTACCTCTGGGTGTTCGGAACTTGCTTGCGATGGCCTCAGACTCACAGAGATCCCCCTGCCTCTGGCCTCCAGAGTACTTGGAGTAAAGGCATGTGCTAGCATGTCTGGCTTTAATATTCACCGTTTATTTATTTATTTATTTATTTATTTATTTTAAGATAGGGTTTCTCTGTGTAGCCTTATCTGTCCTGGAACTTTCTGTAGACTGGGCTGGCCAAGAACTCAGAGATCCTCCTGCCTCTGTCTCCTGAGAGCTGGGATTAAAGGCGTGCACCACCACTGCCCACCGTTAATGTTCACTTTGATTGATGTAAAATTAGTTTTATAATTTTTTTTAAGATTTTGGATGTAAATGAGACTTCAGAAACCCTTTAACCCCAGATAACTTTCTAGTGATAGTACTTGAAGCTGGAAGGTATTCTCTCTTGATTTGGGAGGACCAGGGTAGCCGTGTGTGGAGCCTTGAGTGGGAGTGGGTGTGGGTATGTGTGGAAGAGACCCTTTCTGTATACAGCACCGTACCCTACAGTGCGGGGATCTCAATAGGTCAGTGGGGTAACCTGTATGTCTGCTTTTTATCCCGATGTAACTCCAGCTGCGAAATATCTGATTTCAGAGAGGTGGGTTAATGAAGCTTTTAATAATGGTTAATTTTATGAGGAAAATCAGGATATGCTCTATGTAATTTCAGGATCTTAACCTCAATACTCTAAACTAGATTTGTTATTTATATCTTTTGAGCTAGAGAATTAGAACTGGGGAGGTTTAGTGACTTGTCCTGGGATCATGGCTCTGTTGTGTTGAACTCCAACCTGCTCTGCCCCATCATTTCCCATGGAAAAGCACAAAGCCTGGCCAAAGCCTTTGCACCTTTCTGTGCAAATAATGTGCAGATAATGGTAGTGTTTTAGCAAAGGAGAAAAGAGATTTGAGAATCTACTTCTGGCAGTAGATTGTGATAAAGGGCAGGCTGCCACATACATTCTGGTTATAAACTGTGCTCTAAAATGTTCTAAGGGGATGTTATGTTTAATTTATCTTAATTAAAAAGTACAGCGAAGAAACACTGGTCAACCACTTCCCTGCACAGGACAAGAAAGCTGAGTCATTTTCTGGAACCCAGAGTGGTGGAGCAGGTTACCAAAGTCAGAAAGGTTTATTAGTGTCCTAAGTCCACAGCCTACCACCCTAGGACTCTGCCTGACAGTGAGGAGAGAGAAGGAACTGACGAGAGCTTAGAGTTGGTGGGGATCTTGGGTCTCGGGGTGGGATGTTGGGAGCAGAGGTCCTTTCTGGTTTTTCGTTTTTAGAGAAAGTATGTTTTTTCAAAGGCACACAGAACCTTCTTGAATCCCCAGCTAAAAATGTCACATGGAAAAGCCTAGATTTTTCAATAGAGGAGGAAAGCAGCTTTTTCAGGTGACTAGGAAGATTACAGGTGAGTCAGGTAGCATCAAAAGAAGTGGATCAGGGCAAGGGGTGGACTGAGGGGTGGAGTGGGACCATAGAGGCGTAGAGAAACAGCACCATTGCCTTTATCCCACATGGCCTCAGGTGTGTTTGGATCAGTTCCCAGATTTCCATCAGAACCACCTGGAAAATTAGGTTAGTACCTAGGTGACGGAACCTTTTCTGTAGATCTGGGGTGGGACCTGAGGGTTTCGTTTCTGGAGTTTCTGCTGCTGCAGATCCAGTCACCCATGAGAACTGTAGGGCAGTGGTTTTCAAAAGAGGTTGCAAAATGTCTGGAGGGTGAGGAGGAGGACATCTCTAGATGTCCTGTGATGCATGGTTCAGCCCCCAGCAACAAGACTGTCCTGCTAAGGATGTCAACAGCATGGGGGGTTGAGAAACCCTGGTTTAGAGAAAGAATTTTAAGCACCATGTCTGGGAAATGGTGAATTTGAGGCCAGCCTTACCTACAGGTGTAAGGCCATATATATCCAACCCCACACCCTCCACCAAGGAAGAAAGAAAGGGAGGGAGGGAGAGAGAGAGAACCATAATCTTTGCCGACTCAAGGGGAAAGATTGTTTTGTCATAATTTTTGGTGTTGCTCTTCTTGGCTAGCTGTGTTGTCCTGAGTGAGCTGAGAAGCAGGGATAATACCATGCTGAGCAGATTAATCCCTTCCCAATATGGTGATTCTCTGATGTAATCTTTACTTTGAACTGAGGATTGGCTAGACCTGAAAACTGAAGGACTAACTGCTCAGAAAATGTTAGCTCTCTGCTGACTGTGGGCACTCGTACCTGCATAGGATTTCAGCACAGAAGGAGCTCCGGGTACCGCACAATAAGCTCAGCCTTTGGTGCCAGACACCCTGGGCTGGAGTCCCAGCATTGCCACTTGCTACAATGTAATTTCAGGCAAGTTACAGGACCCTGCGCCTTTGTTTCCTTATCTCTAAAATAGATACAGTAATAGAGCCCATTCATTGAAATGTTTGAGGATTAACATGATGCTATCACCATCTCCCCTACCACCCCTTCCCAGCATCGTCACCATCTATGTTACCACCATCATCAGCCTTTTTTTCCTCCTCCTGTATGTAGAGGGATGGTGTTAAGGAGACATTAGAACAAACAGGTTAAGAGGATTTGCTGATTTGGAAATATGTAGTTTACTTTTCTGTCTTATGCACGGAAGAGTGTGGGAGTGTGAGGGAAAACTGAGCTTAGTTTTGTATCTTGTTTTTTCTTCTTCTGTCTTTATTTTATGTTATTATTTATGTTTGTTTGAGTATCTGCATGGAGATGCCAGTGGAGGCCAGAGATATCAGTCCCCTGGAGCTGGAGTTATACGGATCCTCGGCAATAGCATCTGTGCTCTTGACCACAGAACCATCTCTCCAGCCCATCCCCCTTTCCTTTTGTTTCGAGATGAGAGTGTTACTATGTGGTAGCTCTGTTTAACTTTGAACTTAGCTGTGTACACTAGAATTACCTCTAATTTGAGATTCTGCTCTTTTTATCTGCCTCCTAAATTCGAGATTACAGGCGTATACCATTGTGGACTGTCTGTCTGTCTGTCTTTCTCTCTGAGGTGGGTCTTAATGTGTTGCTCAGGTTGATCTTGAACTTACAGTATCAGACTCAGGTGTCCGTGCCTCCCTCACCCCCCGCCCTGTTTCTTTAGCATCATAAGCAGCTTGGACTACAGGTGCTGCCATCACCGTTGTTTCTTTGAGTTTGAGATCAGTGGTCATGTATAACTACAATGAGTTAAGAGTAAATGAGACCTGTAATATTTAAGGTGTTGGGCCAGAATTACAGGCCTGAGCGTTGGGAACAAAGATGTGGGTGCAGCCAGGGAAACTCACAGGGAGAAGTGTAATATACTTCATACCCAGCATTTTATGTGTTCTTACTTAATCCTTACAGGAGCTCTTTAACACAGTATTATTCCCATTTTAAAGCTGAATAGCCAGTTTAGTGAGATTTAATAACTTGCTTGAGATTTCTTAGTAGGTAAGTGGTTTAATTAGAATTAGAACCCATTCATCTACTTATCCATCCAGTGGACTTTCTTTTTGCTTAAAAATGTTATTGTTTTAGATTCACAGCAGAATTGTAGGGTCCACAGTTCCCGTATTTTCCATGCATACCCTTTTCATTGGTTAAACCTTTCCATTGTCAGATTCCACCACTGCATGAGTATATTGGTTGCAGTTGGTCTTCATCAAAACTGTCCGTTGTCGCCCAAAGCCCATGGCTTATATTAGGGCCAGCTGTTGGTGTTTTGTATTCTATGGGTACATGTGACATGTGTCTTCCTTCACGGTGTCACATGAAGTGCACAGAGTTCTAGGGGTGTTTTTAGTGTTCACTGTGAGCTGCGCACGATGCTAGTTACTAATGTTTATGAGAGGAATGGAGATTATTCCTGTCGTAGGGTTGTTGACCCTAGACCTTTGTGTTTCAAGGCCCAGACTGTTTCTAAAAAACCAACAGGAAAAAAAAATGTTTTGGGGGCATGAGAACAAGGCTTAAAATTTCCCCCAAGACAGGATAGCCCTGCATAGCCCTGGCTGTCCTGGAACTCGCTCTGTAGACCAGGCTGACCTTGAACTCAGAGATCCACTTGCCTTTACCTCCTGAGTGCTGGGATTAAAGACATGTGCCACTACCACCCGTCAATGTTTTTTAAAAATTACATTTTCTCCATTTATTTTGTGTATGTGTGCCGCACCAAAGTGCACATATGAAGGTCAGAGGAAACCTCTGGATGCTGGTTATCTCCCTCCACTGTGTGTGTCCCAGGACTCCAGCTCAGGCTTGGCAGCAGGTGCTTTTATGTGTTGAGTCATCTCATTGTCCAGGAGCAAAGATTCTTCATTTACGTATCGTTCTTTCGTTAAAGCATACCTGTGAATGTTCTAACCCAAACAATTATCTGTAGTGTATCGAAATCATACACATGTTTTGCCAAGAAGAAATTAAACATTTTCCTATGTATTTCTGGGTGGTAAGGAAGGGAGTGTGTGATTGTTCTCTGTTATGTGGAAGGCAGTTCAGGAATTTGTTCACCCATAAGTATGAAGTCAAGTATGGTTATTGTAATATATACAGTCAGGTTTCTTCATCCATGGGAGTTAAAGGATTGCCATTTTTTTTAGATTTCTTGGGAAAAGGTTGAGTACCAAGAGTCATGTGAGTTGTACTGAATCTGGACCTCTGCGATGTGAAGGGTATTTCCGATGACTGTCACCAGTCTTAAGGAGGCAGCAAACAGAAGTCATACCAGGATAGCAAGAAGTTAGCACCCTAAAGAACAATTTTCCTGGTTGGCAGGCAGAGTGCGAAAGGCTGCGGCGTCGCCTTTTCTGGATCTTTCAAAATTGGAGGAGCTGTTAGCTCCTGGGTCAGCTCTGCTGTGGAAGTCTGAAGGTTGGGAGAATGCCAGCTCTGCCACTCTTTGTTGCGATATCCATCTTTTCCTTGGCTCTGTCTCTGCTTCTCTCCCTTGCCATTCATTTTCCAGAGTGTTTATTCATCAGATTTCTCTGTTTGTAGTTCTGAGTTAGCATTCTCTGTTTGTAGTTCTGAGCTAGCAGCTGTACACTCTTAAGACCATTGGACCCAGCTAATTCCGCTTTAGTCTTGTCGCTTCCAACCCAAGACAGACACATGGGTATAGCTAACGATTTTATCTGTACATATGGTCTACCCGACAACACCAACACAAACCATCCGCTCGAGTCACAGTGTCTGAGCCAGAACTGAGGCCTCTCCCCCTGTGCCCACGCATATTCCAATGCTTTCCTCTTGTTCTTCCTTCATCCAGACCTCCCAGGAATTTGTGGAGAAGCTAACCAAAAGGCTGAAAAGACACCCTGAGGAGACTGGAGGCTTCCAGGAGGCACCACTGGCCTATGACGCTATCTGGGCCTTGGCTTTGGCCTTGAACAAGACCTCCGGAGGAGGTGGCCGGTCGGGCGTGCGTCTGGAGGACTTTAACTACAACAACCAGACCATCACAGACCAAATCTACCGGGCCATGAACTCCTCATCCTTTGAGGGTGTTTCTGTGAGTTACAGCAGCTTTTGTCATGGAAAGGGACACCTTGGAGGGCCCCTAGATGCACACATTCTCTTGTTTTTTTCCGTTGCTTTTCTGTAAAGTCAGTCATAGACCATGGGAAGAGGGATCCCCAAACCAGAGAACCATACAAAAGATGACAATGAAAAGAATTACTGTATTCTAGTGCTTTACAACCTGGTCCAGGTGTTTACGGGTCAGATGAGAAGGGTAGGGTTTTTTAAAGAGATAGCAATTTGAAAATTAATCTCCTCGTTCCTTTTAAAGTGAGGAAATTAGTGCCCAATAAGGTTTGGTGATTGCTCCTGTCCCTCTCTCTGGGGACTGTCTCACTCGGATCTCAAGGGTGAAGCTTCTTCTCAAAAGAAAACTGTTTCCAGAATCTAGGGTATGTGCATCTGGGGTGTGTCCTATATGCAGCAGATGCCATAAATAGCCTTCATTCAGAAGCTCAATTACATCAAAAACAGAAGGTTTCAGAGTCCTTAATGTTCTCTTTTCCTCCTGCTTTCATCCCCTCTGCCTTCCTCCACATGTTTCTCCTCAGGGCCATGTGGTCTTTGATGCCAGTGGCTCCCGGATGGCGTGGACACTTATCGAGCAGCTGCAGGGTGAGCTCGGGCCTGAGAGGCTGGGGAAGGGGCAGGCAGGGGCTGGGCTGAGTGCTCACGTGGGAGGAGATCAATTGTGCATCTCAACAAGACTGCCTGCACTGTGTTCATCAGGCTTTAAACAATAAGGGCGATGCAGATAAAAAAGAGCTGTTCTTTCTTCCCAGTGCCTTCAGTTTCAGTCCCAGAAGTTGCCTGCCCCAGGCTAGATTGAGGAGTTAAGGGCTCTTAGCGTGTTCTGAAAGATGAAGGAAAGTTGGACCTAGGAAGCTGGTTCTTTTTAAAGGGAATTCTCTCGGTTCCTTGCTATGAGAGAACAATGTTCCAGTCATACACATAGCTGGCCTTTCCTAGACGGCATTTCCGTATAACTTAGCACTGAGGAGTCTACAGAACTTTTGCGAGTTAATCTTCCAGTTCCACCTGACTCAGCTCCTTGTGGTGTGGCAAGAGACCCATTTCTTAGCCTCCTGTAAAAAGTTTCTTTCTCTCCGCACCTCTCCAACCAAATCCTCTCAGTATGTGGGGCAAGTGAGACTGGACGTCAGCCAGGGTGAAGTAGGTGTGAGGTGGTGTTTGGAAGGAAAGTTGTATTAACTGTGCTCATTCTGGAAGATTTTTCTTAGGAGTGACTGCATTTCCCTTAGTGGCACTTTAAGAGACAGATGTATCTTACATATCCAAGGCATTAGAACTCAAGCCAAAGGGAGAGAGGTTTCTAAAATTAAAGCCACTGGGAAAAAAAAGATTCTGTCCATCATAAGAGGGAGGCTAGGCAGAAGTTGCTTAAAGCTTTGGAAGCCAGAATCAAAGTGAGAGACGTTGCTGGAGAGGTGTGAGGCAGTAGAATAGGTGGTAGCCGGGCAAGGAGCCTTCCTCGGGGAAGAGCCTTAAATGCCTTAAGGGCTCTATTGTGTATTCAGATTGCCTCGGGAAGCACCTCACTTGCTGTGAAGTTAAGTTACCTGTCCAAGAGACCTTGGGTCCTTGGGTTGCTTAGGTCAGTGGCCTAGGGTGTCTTCTCCCTGCCCTTGACAACTCCAGTCCTTTGCTCAGGTGGCAGCTACAAGAAGATTGGCTACTACGACAGCACCAAGGATGACCTTTCCTGGTCCAAAACAGATAAGTGGATTGGTAAGTTCTCTTTTGGTCCTTCTGAACGATCACTGTCAGACTTTTGAATGGGCTGGGGATGGGGGCACAGAGGATGGGGAGTGGCGGGAGGGGTTGCTGTTGGGTTAGAACAGCAGAGGGGTCACAGCAGGGATTGGGAGTGAACCGTGGCCTCCAAGAAGGAAGGGGAGGCCTGGGGTCACCCTGTTTCTAAGCTCTGCTGCAGTGAATGAGAGGCAGTGAGAAACGGAAGCTCTCCTCCAGCCTTGGTACATTAGGAACAGGGACTCCAGGTCCTTGTCAGGAAAGTAGCTGCTTAACTGTAGTAGAGGAAACAAAATTTCATTTCTTATGGGCTGTTTCGTGCTTTGCTTTTTTTACTTGTTTTGTTTGTTTTCCCCTTGTGTTTTATATATTCATTTTGTGTGCATGTGGAGTCAGAGGACAACTCAGAGGAGCCTCTCCTACCACCGTGTGGGGCCCGGGAATTGAACTCCATCATCAGGACCTTTATGCCTTGAGCCATCTCACCAGTTTTTGTTTCTGGTTTTTTGTTTTTTATTTTTGTTGTTGTTGTTTTCCTTTTTTTTTTTTTTGAGTCAAAGCTTTATCCTGTACCTCAGGCTGGGCTTGAGTTCATTATGTAAGCCGAGGCTCATCTTGACCTCAGGATGATCTTCCTGCCTCAGGATCTCAAGAGTGTTGGGATTTCAGGTGTATACTACCACGCCTGGTTTATGCTGCAATGTTGCGGGTTTCTTTTCTTTTCTTTTTTTTTTTTTGGCGGTGGGGGTGGGGGGGGTGGGGTCACACTACATAGTCCTAGGTGTCCTGGAACTCGTCTGTAGACCAGGCTGGCCCTCCAACTCACTACTTCTTTCTCCTGAGTGTTGGGATTAAAGGTGTGTGTCCCCACACCTAGCCTGCCACGCACTTTTTAATCCAGGTATGCTAAATGGCAGGAAATGGGAAAGACACTAGAGGTTAGCAAAAAGGAAGTTCCTACTGATGAGGAAGGATGATAAGGCCATTGAAGGCAGCTGCCACCTGCCATGCCCAGTGAAGTGTGTGTGTGTGCGTGCACGCGCGTGTGTGGTGTACACGTCCATATTCATGCTGTGTGGCCAGTATGCCATGGTGTTCTTGTGGAGGTCAGAGGACAACTTTGTGGAGTTGGTTTTCTCCTTCCATCTTTACCCAGCTCTGGGGATTGAATTTAATGTTGCCAGGCTTAACAATTGCTTTTACCCATTGAGCCATTTTTCTAGTCCAGCTTCATTAAGTTTAATTAATTTTTATGTGTTTTGCCTACATTTATGTGTGCATGTGTACCATTTGTGTGCCTGAGCCAGAAATGAGCATCAGAATCCCTGGAACTGGAATTACAAATGGTTGCAACCAATGACGTGGGTGCTGGGAACTGAACCTGGGTCCTCTGGAAGAGCAGAGAGTACTCTTAACTGCTGAGCCATCTCTTCAGCTCCCTACTTTATTTTATTACTTATTTTGAGACAGGTTTTCACTTTGTAGATTAATCTGACCTCAAAGTTGTGTCGATCCTCCTGCCTCAGCACCCAAGCATTGCTTCAACTACTGAGTGAGCTTGTATGTCTAAGCTTTGCTTCATTTTTGTTATTTATTTATTTTTGTAGCTTGAATTTAGGGCAGTATTTTGTTCAGTTATAAATGCTGCCCGGCCTAAATTGGCTTTCTAAAATTTTTTTTAGACGAAGCAAATTGAAATTAAGTAGGTGTTTTGCTTATCATCACCCTCCCCCCCCCCCACCTCTGACAAATTTGAGCTTTCTCTTAACAGTAACTGGAAACACTTTTTGGGAGTACTACCCTGCTTGGGTTGTTCTTGTATTTTTTGCTGGAGGTTAGAAGAACACACTGGATACTTGGAGACTCTTCTGGCTTTCTGCGTCTGTGATTGTCTTTTGCACCTTTAATGGGGCTATATAGAATTATTTCAGCTGTTCTCCTCTTTAGCTGTCTTTTTCCTGTAAGATGGAGAAGCAGAAAGAACAAACAATCAAAGATAGGCGTGGTCGTATACACCTTTAATCCCAGCATAGGCAGAGGCAGAGGCAGAGGCAGGCACATAGATAGTTCCAGGCCAGCCTGGTCTAGAAAGGGAGTCTTAGGAGGACAGCCAGGGTACACAGAGAAACCTTGTCTTAAAAACCAGAAACAAAGAACATGTAATCAATCGAAGAGACCCTCAGCACAGACCCTATCTTTTCCTTTTCTGGGTGTTTCTCAAGGTCCCCAGTGCCTCCAGCCTTCTTCCTGCCTTAGCCCCTAAGTGCATTTGAGGGCCTCGTGTCTTCAGCTGACACCGAGTGTCCCCCAGCAGCTTGCCTTTCACCCCTTTCTCCTGTCCTGCCTTCATGCCGCTGTCCTTCCTTCTTTTTCTTTCCCCCTCCTCCCCTGTGCCATGCAGGAGGGTCTCCCCCAGCTGACCAGACCTTGGTCATCGAGACATTCCGCTTCCTGTCACAGAAACTCTTTATCTCCGTCTCAGTTCTCTCCAGCCTGGGCATTGTTCTTGCTGTTGTCTGTCTGTCCTTTAACATCTACAACTCCCACGTGCGGTAAGTCTCTCTTCTGACTTGATCCTTGGCCTGGCTGGCTCTCCAAGGTACTGACGATACTTCCTGAAGAGTAAGAAAGGGGGACTCTCAAGGCCATGTGTCACAGAGTGGTGTGATGACTCTCCAAAAATGTGAGGGGGTGCTAGGCATGACCCCCTGCCCTTGCTTCAGAGTAATCAGCTAGAAAAAATACATTGGAGGCCTAGCGCAGAATCTTAGGCTCTAACTAGAGTGTGCCCGTAGGACCTTATGCTGCAGAAGCCCTGTGCCCCCCTGGGTTCAGCTCTGTGGCCCAGCAACCTACCCTAAGTGTCTTTCTGTCTGTTCCAGTCTGTCTCCTTTATCCACCCTGGGGATAGGGTTGTACCGTTGATGGCATTTTTGGAGAGCCAAGCCTCCCTAGAGGAGATGGGGTAATTCTGCTCTTTCTCCCACCCTCTCCGCCTCTGCCCTAGTTATATCCAGAACTCCCAGCCCAACCTGAACAATCTGACTGCCGTGGGCTGCTCGCTGGCACTAGCTGCTGTCTTCCCCCTTGGGCTGGACGGGTACCACATAAAGAAAGGCCAGTTCCCGTTTGTCTGCCAGGTGAGTAGACAGGGGGCCAGTGTAGACCTTGCAGAATATGGCTTTCCTGTCTCTTCTCTTTCCCTGACCAGTGTCCCCCCCTTCCTGCCTTCCCTCCTAGCGTCACCCTTTTGGTTTCTCTCTGGCTCCATCCCTTCTTTCTGGGTGCCAGACCTTTTCCATTCTGCGGTTCCCTGGCTGGTTGCAAGGTTGCTAGGCATGCCTCGCAGAGGAGAGGGGTGAAGCGCTGAAGACAAAGGGAGGGGTCCGCACACAGAACTTATGAACAATAGTGGCTTGTTGGTGGTATGTGGGCCAAGAAACAAAACTGGGCTTTCCCGTGGGAGCCTTGGTTGGAGTTTGAAAGGATGAAAGCAGAATCAAAACGGATAGAGTCGGGGAAAGGGACGTATCATTGCAGGGGGGGAGGGTCTCTGGGGACACTTGGCTCATGGAGTTTCTGGGACTGTGGGGCTAGGCTGGCTTCAATGATGTTTGATTGGTTCTCTACTGTTGTGAAGCATCCACTCTTTTCCTGCTTCCTTCCACTGGCATTCTTTCCTCCACTGTGTTTCTGTCCTGATCACACACTGTGCACACACACACACATGCACTCATGTCCTCAGGACGTGTCTATTCCTAGTGGGACCAGCATGCAGCAGGAGAGAGACAACTAGGAGATACATCTAAGGAGGGATCTGTAGAAAGTGCTGTGGGCAAAGAGAAGGGAAGCAGCTCACCCTCCATGTCTGAGTGGCCCCCAGGAGCTTGTGCCTTGAAGGACGGTGCGTGAGGTCAGAGAGTAGACGAGGGAGACTGAGTGGTTCAGCATAGCTGGGTGGGGCACAGGGATGGTGAGGTCCTGGCTGGTGGTTGTGCTGTACTGTGTTACATTCCGAGGTGTGCAGGTGGTAACTGTAGGCACTAGACTAGTAGTCTTTAACAAGAATACCTTGGTGCCGCAGCAGTAGAGAAGGATGGAGTCCCAGCCTCCCCTTTCTGTTTCTGTTATCTGGTCACTGTTCACATTGCTTCCTGCAGTTCCTCCACCATGGGCCCAGTCCCACCTATTGCCAGTGTCTTTTCTCCCTTTCTAGGCCCGCCTTTGGCTCTTGGGCTTGGGCTTCAGTCTGGGCTATGGTTCTATGTTCACCAAGATCTGGTGGGTCCACACCGTCTTCACAAAGAAGGAGGAGAAGAAGGAATGGAGGAAGGTGAGTGACTCCCCAGACCCAGCCTTTGATCCCAAGTACAGAGACGACCTCTCTGACCTGCCTTCTCTGGATATCTACTCAGACCCTAGAGCCCTGGAAACTGTATGCCACTGTAGGCCTGCTGGTGGGCATGGATATCTTGACTCTTGCCATCTGGCAGATTGTGGACCCCTTGCACCGAACCATCGAGGTATCTATCACTTGAGAGGAGTTTTTGGGATCAGGAAGCTGAACAGGGCCTATCAACTTGGCATCTTCAGGGCTATGTTTGGTCTTGAAGTATATAATTACTTAGTGAAGGCCAGGTGTGGTAGTACATACCTTCAATCCTAAAGCGCTGGAGGCAGAGGCAGGCAGAGCTCTGAGTTTGAGCATAGCCTGCTCTACATAGTGAGTTCCAGGCCAGCCAGGGCTACATAGTGAGACCCTGACTTTAAAAAGAAAAGGAGGCTACTCAGGGAGGGAGCTTCTCGGTCTTCTTTATATCCAGGGTTCTTCTATCTTTCCCAGATGGAGCCCTATCAAAACCTCTTGGTTTATCTAGAGAAGTGATGTGCCAGGGATCTGGGAGGATGTGTAGGGTTTCCAAACATTGGGGAAAGTGGGGAACAAGCCTTTCTGGTGTGTTCAGGGAAATGTCTCCAGGCTTGGCGTAGGGTTTGGTGCAGTACTGAGTCTCATGGGAAAACAGGCGGGGCTGGGGGTTCAGGAGCTGGGAAAGAGTATGGTCACTCATCCTTTTGCTCCTTTTTCTCCATCAGACTTTTGCCAAAGAGGAGCCAAAGGAAGACATCGATGTATCCATCCTGCCCCAGCTGGAACACTGCAGCTCCAGGAAGATGAATACATGGCTTGGTGTGTGGGTTGTGGGTGGGAGGAGGGGAAGGAGGACACATAGCAGGAGGAATGGGTAACAGCAGGAGACCAGGGGAGAAGGGCCATTGGAGTCAGTTTCAATGCCCTTATCACAGCACTAGAGTAGGGGAGCTTTGGTCTTTTGCTGTGAGTAGTGATGCCCAGCAAAGGGCCAGTGCAGGTGGGTGACCCACCCATCTGTTACTCGCCAGCTCCTGAGAGTAGGACCAAGGCTGTGAGGTCATAGGCTTAGCCTCTCTTCAGCCTGTCTAACATTCCTCTGTTCTACAAATTCACACGGTGAACTAAAACCCTTAGGCAGGATTGCATGCTCCTGCCTGACGGGCTAAGAGTTGAGACGACACTGTGTAGCATCCATTGGATCATTTCTAGCTGCTGAGAATTTGCTACGTCAGAGGGGCTGGAATGGAGAGGAAAGCTTTCTTTGCATAGAGGAGCTACACAAAGCAGAAGTAAATGAAGGACAAGGAAGAGGAGGGTTGAGTTGGGAGTGTGAGGGTCCTGTTGCCCAGGACACTTTCCTGTTGTCCTAGGCATTTTCTATGGTTACAAGGGGCTGCTGCTGCTGCTGGGAATCTTTCTTGCTTATGAGACCAAAAGTGTTTCCACTGAGAAGATCAATGACCACAGGGCTGTGGGCATGGCTATCTACAACGTTGCGGTAAGCTCCCTTGACACCCGGTGTTAGTCCTCTCCTAAAACACTGGTTAGTGTCTGATTTACCAAGTCACTGTTGTGTTGCTTTCCTGAGGAGACGTGAAAAAATGTCAGTTCACTCTAGATAGGGCGCCGCAACAGACAAAGGAAGTGACTCTATCAAAGTCTGACTTGGCATCCTGTTGTCATTTCTGTTGCTGTGATGAAATACCCTGACAAAAAGCAGCTTTGAGGAGAAAGGGCTTATCTTAGGTCAAAGTTCCAAGTTACAGTTCCATAAAACGAGGGATGTCAACGCGGGAGCTAAGAGCAAGTCATCCAGAGCCAAGAGCAACAAGAGATAGATGCATGAGAGCTTACACTCAGGGCTGGTGCCCTCTACAGTGACTGAGTCCTTTCACGTCATTTAGCAATGGAAATCAAGATAATCCCCCCAATATGCTCCCAGACCAAGCTGACATGATCTAGACAATCCCTCATTGATAATCACCTGAGTGACTCTAGAGTTTAGAATCTAGACGCTGTCAAATCGATAAAGCTGACCATCACACTTGGCAAATCTGTGCATTTTTGGGTTACTATAGGAGCATGAAGGAGTTAATAGCATTTATACCATCTAAAAAGCACACGATAGCATGGGTGATGACTCACGGTAACTGCATACCTAGAGTTAGCTGCCCGACTTGCAGGCAGTTCCACAAGACAGCATTCTTTCACCAGGAATTAGTTATTGCCTTTATACCTTTGGGATAGGCCTTCTTAGTCTTCTAATTGAGTTTCACAGGTCTCCCTCTCTTTGGGAAAGGGATGCTTCAATTCAGAGGATATAACTACACAGCAGGTTAGAAAGAACACTACTTTGGGGCTGGGGTGATAGGTTCTGATGCTTCTAAGACAACTTAGATTGGTACTGGATTTGGTCCTTAGAACACACATCAGGAAAAGCTGGTGTAATGGCATGTCCTTGTAATGCCAGTGCTGAGGAGATGCAGACACATAGGTCTTCAGTTCTCAGTGACCAGGCAACCTCTGGCCAGCGAAGGACTCTGAAAAACCGGAATGGAGGAGGAATGGCAGCTAAGGTTTTCCTCTAGCCTCCATATGTACATGCATTCACATGCATGTGACCATACATGTTCTCCTGTGCTACACATATGAAATATAGACAGATAAGAAAAAAGCTGAACAGAAATCACACTACGTTATATCATTTCGCACCTACCTAGTGCACTAAGGACTGAATGCAGAGCTCCTGAGGGAAGCATTGGTCTAGAGCTGAGAACTGGTTTAGAAGATTATTCCTGGGTCTTAGCTATTTAAAGTTGAGCGTCGTCCTGAACTCGTGCAGCATTCCCCAGGAGTTCATCTTCACGGACTCTGTCTTTGGGGAAGGAAACCCTGCACCCCACTTGAACCGATGTTGGATCTGAGTCTCCCAAATGCTGTCTCTCCAGGTCCTGTGTCTCATCACTGCTCCTGTCACCATGATTCTCTCCAGCCAGCAGGATGCAGCCTTTGCCTTTGCCTCTCTGGCCATCGTGTTCTCTTCCTACATTACTCTGGTTGTGCTCTTTGTGCCCAAGGTGAGGCCAGGCTCTCCCCCTGCCCTGCCTAGACAGAACCAGGACTTCCATTCTGTCCTTATTGGGTTTCCATTGCTCTTCACTCTCAACACTTTACCAGGTGCTCGCTCACACAGCTCCTTTGCCCCCAGATGCGTAGGTTGATCACCCGAGGGGAATGGCAGTCCGAAGCCCAGGACACCATGAAGACAGGGTCATCCACCAACAACAATGAGGAAGAGAAGTCCCGACTGTTGGAGAAAGAGAACCGTGAATTGGAAAAGATCATTGCTGAGGTATGCGGTGACTACCGGGGTCCATGTCTAAGGCTGGGCTGTCTGAAGTGGAGCCTGAGATACAGGTTTAAGTGTTGGTGGTTTACAGACCTCATAAAACCTGTAAGGGAGCAGGCGCGGGAAAGAGGAAGGGTTGAGACTCAGTCTCAAGAAAATTTAGTGTTAGCCTGAGGAAGGGGAGGAGGCTCTGAAATGGGGACTATAGATTCAGCCCTCCTGTGGCAAAAGAGCAGCCATTGGCAGTAGTTAGGGGGAGGCCATTGTGAGCCATTACTAGCCCACACTCACAGGTGCTGGGTAAGGCATATGGCCACAGCATATCGGTTCTAGGCAGCTGCCCACAGTGTCCACTGTGTCCAGGCTGTAGTTAGGGACCAGTGTGGTACTGGGGGTGGAGGGTGGCATTCCAACTTGGTTGATGCAATTTATATATTCTCCTTTTGTTTTTTAATTCACTTATTTCCTTGATCTATTCTCTTGGTGCCTTTACGGTCCGTGGCTTTCTTTGTTCTTGATTCAAGTTTTAGTTTCTTCTCTCACCGCACATCCCATTTCAACGCCTCTCCTCCTTTCCCCTCCTTCCACTCCACACCCTCCTCCCACACTCCCAATTGTGCTTCTTCCTCCAGAAAGAGGAGCGTGTCTCTGAACTGCGCCATCAGCTCCAGTCTCGGCAACAGCTCCGCTCACGGCGTCACCCCCCAACACCCCCAGACCCCTCTGGGGGCCTCCCCAGGGGACCCTCGGAGCCCCCTGACCGACTTAGCTGTGATGGGAGTCGAGTGCATTTGCTTTACAAGTGAGGGGGTATCAAGAAGGATAAGGCCAGTAGGGGAGGGAAGGGTGTGGGAAGAGGGTGGGGGACTGGGAGGAGGGCAAGGACTCCTATCTCCAACTGGGAGAACATGCTCCAATCCCCCTCTTATAAATATATGTCACTCTGTGCGTTTGGAGTTATTTGGATCTCCAATACTCTGGAAACCAGACTGTTTTCTCTCTTATTCATTCATATAATTTTGTATCGCTACTTCACAGTTTGGTTTGAACCCTGCTTGAAGCTATTCACTCGTAACCCCAGAGGGGCAGCTCACCATATTTTTCTCCCACGTCCTGTCTCATGTAGTCATCACGGAAACTCCTGCAATCTCAGCCGCAGGGGTCTCCCCACAAGTGTTCTTCCCACACTAACAGGACCCTCTCCATTTCTCAGCATCAGAATCCCCTTCCATTGTCCTTGTCTTTCTACACATTCCCATGTTTTCCTCTCCTTAAATGTTGCTTTTTCCAGGAGAATCATTCTTACCCAGGTCTACATGCTCTTTGCCTCTGCTCTGTGTGCTCTGGGTTCCCAGCACACATATCCCATCCTCCAAGTGTGGTGTTTCCAGAGTGCTTTCTCATGCGCCATTACTTGTGCTCTCTGAATACCCTGCACCTGTGAGTGACAGTGGTTGTGGATATGCGCTGTGGTGTGCTCGGGTACGTGTGTGTGATGTGTTGGGCACACTACGCTGTCTTCCTCATGTGCACACGTCACGCCCTTCTGTGCTGTGGTGTGCTCGGGTAAGTGTGTTTGATGTGTTGGGCACACTACGCTGTCTTCCTTGTGTGCACACGTCATGTCTTTCTGTGCCGTGGTGTGTTTGGGTAAGTGTGTGTGATACATTGAGCACACTACGCTGTCTTCCTTGTGCATGCCACATCTTTCTGTGTTTTACCAGTGCCACCCAGTGCATTGCATATTGACTTATTTGCATCTTAACATCATGTATATGTGTGTTTCCCTGGCTGTCTTAATGGAAGTCCTCTGTCTTACTACACTTTCTGAGTTGTCTGCCTCCCTGATGTCATGTCTTTTCCCACCAGAGTCATGTGCACCCAACATGCACATGTTAAACACATTCTCCGCAGTTCATGTGTTCTGGGCCATCCATCCCTCTCCTCGGCATTACGTTTCCTCTCAATGTTCCCTGGATTCTTTGCTCTCATGTGTACCACCCTCTGTCTGTACTCATAATTACCTCTCAAGACTTCATTTTAGTTTTCTTTATTATCATTATTGTTTTTTTTTCAGAAGTAAGGGAAAAGAAACGGGTACAGACTGGAGGCTGTTTTCAGTGGATAGTAGGTCCACATCCTAACCAAATGAAGGTGTGGACAGATGGACTGAAGGGGCAGGAGGCAGTGTCCCTTTCACACTGTGTTGTGTCTTGGGGAAGGATCTCCCTGAATCTCAATAAACCAGGGAACAGTGTGACTCAGCACCTCACCCCCAGCCAGTGAACTGAATGGACTCCAGGCCAGGAAGGGAGAAGCCCAGGTTCTCAGGCTTGCAGCTAATGAAAAGGCTTTGAAGTGGAGAGGCTCAAAGAGATCCGTGCAGGATTTGGCAGGGCAAAGCAGGACAAGATCAAGGCCCTGATTAGTGGGTGATGATGGTGGTGGTTAAAGTGTGGGCTCTGGAGTCAGACTGCCAGGGTCAGGCCTGCACCACGTGCGGAAATGTCTCCTAATCTCTCTCCTCCACGTTTGGGAATCTGGTAATAACAGTAATGATGATGCATTTCTCCATGGAGTGCATACAAGAGCTAGGCTAATTACGCCTTCCGGTGTCTGGATCTGCTTGGGCCGTGGAAGCCTTTGTTACAGCTGCTTCCTGGATTCCCCGACAATGGTGGCCATGGTCTGGGGCCCTGGAACAGTTGGCTGAGCAGAAATCACAACTGAACAATGGCTGCCAGGTTCTAGATAAGTGCCTCCAGACTTAAAAGTCATCATCTCGGGAAGATTTTTTCGATCAATCTGAAAGTTTGAAAAGGTGGGAAGAAAAAAAACCTGAATGTATATATATATATATATATATATATATATATATATATATATATATATATAATTTCTTTGTGTCCTTTTGGCTTTTTTGAAGCTTTTTCATGTGCTGGTTTGTTTTGTTTTATGATGATGGCTCTTCCCATCTCAGCATGAGCTACAAGGGTTTGAGGGGCCTTGTCATTTCAATGTCCTGTTTATGGCAGGGTAAATCTTAGGCCCCCTTTGAAAGCAACCCATAGTGATTATCTACCTTGGACCGATTGGGTTTAATTTGAGTTCCCCTTCTTCCTGCAGTGGAATTTTTTCAGAGAAAGGAGAGGAGGCCTGTGGAGTAGAGAAACCTGCAGTGTAGAAATTAATAGTTGGCCTGGTGGTGGTGGCGGCGCACGCCTTTAATCCAAGCACTCGGGAGGCAGAGGCAGGCGGATCTCTTTGAGTTCGAGGCAAGCCTGGTCTACAAGAGCTAGTTCCAGGACAGGCACCAAAAACTACAGAGAAACCCTGTCTTGAAAATCCAAAAAAAAAAAAAAAAAAAAAAAAAATTAATAGTTGGCTTCAGAAACTATCGCCCAAGGCACCGACCAGCTCTGGGTAGACCAAAATTATCCCTCTCAGAACTGCATTGCACATCAGTGGGGTGTGAATAGTAAGTAAATCAAGGGTCGGGAGTTCCATTATAGCCAAGGGTGAGACAGACTCTGTAGCAAGAGTGCAGGATCCCAGCCAAATGGCAGAGCTGACAGGAGTGTTGCAGGGGGCCACTTGTTCATCCCGGCCACCCAGAACCAAAATAATCACACAGAAACTGTATTAATTAAATCACTGCTTGGCCCATTAGCTCTAGCTTCTTATTGGCTAACTCTCACATAGTAATTTAACCCATCTCTATTAATCTGTGTATCTCCATGTGGCTGTGGCTTAGCAGGTAAAGTACCAGCTTCTCTCTCCGGTGGGGCTCCATGGCTTCTCTCTGACTCCGCCTTCTCTCTCCCAGCATTCAGCTTAGTTTTCCCCACCTAGCTCTGTTCCCCTCTAGCTCTGCTATAGTTCCTTTATTAACCAATGGTAATCACTGCTTACAGAGGGAAATCCTGCATCACCTCCCCTTTTCTGTTTAAATAAAGAGGAAGGTTTTAACTTTAATACAGAAAAATTACATATAGAAAAACAGGTGTCAAGCAAGAATTACAGTTATAATATTTACATCTACTTTATCTTTTATTATAACTAAGGGAAACTATAACTATAAATTCTTCAACTCCATCAAAGACTCCAGAAGGATATAATACCTAAGTAAACAGGGAGTGCATTGTAAGCAACTTCCAAAACTCTAGAATTGACAGAGACTTCTAGCTACCTGGACAGTCATCCAATGTTTTCTGTACCATTGGGGCATCCATCTAGCAGACTTTTTCATGAAGCAGGAACGCTGAAGGATGGTCTCACCTTTAGACAAGTTCAGCAGTCATTTCTCTGTAGTTTCTTGCCCAAATGGCTAACCAACTTCATAAGGAGCCTCTTTGATGCCGATCTTCCTCTTGAAGTAATTGGTGCTGCCAGGAGCAGATGTGTCTCATTGTCATGAAAAGTTCTAAGTTCTGAAACATTTTAAATGCCATGTTCTGTAGTCTTTGAAAGGTTTGAAGAATGCCTATCCATCTGAAATACATTTCTGTACATCTAGAAAAACTAACATGACTACAAACTTGATGATTATCTATTAATCTATATTTCCTAATTATACATTATATTTTAAATGAACCACACAATTACAATACCTTAATCAAGAGCATAAATATACATATAACAAAATTGACTTTAACTTTGTATCAATAAACCAAGATCCATACCAATGCAAATCTATATAGCATATCCCCCTTTAAATGTAAAAGAACATTTTATTTTATTTTTTAAATATTTATTTATTATGTATGCAATATTCAGTCTGTGTGTATGCCTGCAGGCCAGAAGAGGGCACCAGACCCAATTACAGATGGTTGTGAGCCACCATGTGGTTGTTGGGAATTGAACTCAGGACCTTTGAAAGAGCAGGCAATGCTCTTAACCTCTGAGCCATCTATCCAGCCCGTAAAAGAACATTTTAAATAATATTTGGGAATATGGGTGTAGTTATTCTTTAAAATTGCTTCCTGCTGTTTATTTGGTGAAGTAATTTTTTGAGGGGTGTTCAAGGCATCCTTTCGGGGGATCTTGGTCCATCAAACCACATTAGTCTGGGAGGATTCCACAGCTTCTCATCCTTTTGGAACTTCTTTTCCAAAGCAACATATCCTTAGCCCCAAATTCTGAAGCCAAGATACCTTTATAGTATATGTGCTGGTTTAGCTTAGCAGCCCATACAATGAAATGTCTCTGTACTTAGCTCCTTCACAGTCCAAAAAAATCAAAGGAAACATAATAATATACATAATCCAGATTGTCTGTATATTCCATCTTTATGGGGCCTTCCAGCCCCCCAGGGATAGAGACTGAAAAGGAAGACAAAAAACCACGTGTTGTTCTCTGGGGGTCAGTTTAAATACCCTATGGGCGTGGTCTTGAGCCCCTCTGGGGAGGGTCACTGTTTGGCGGGCTTTCTGGGAGGTGGAATGGAGTCTGGACTGGGGCAACTCCCAGAGGGGGGCCTTGGGATGGAACTTTTCACCCAAACTGAGGTTGTAGGCTCATTACTTGGCCAGAAGACTGCACATGGGGAGAACCTTGTAGGCAATAGGAAGTGGAGCCAACATCCAGACTATGCATTGACTGCTGGGTAGCCTGGTACCCACAACAGCTTAAACAACAGCAACATCTTTGTTTCTGTGGGCTAAGCATTAAATAGGCCACGGTGAGGGAAGTCCACACCACACAGCACCCTGCGGGTTTGAAGATAGGGAGCCTGGTTCTAAGTCCTTTATAACCCCTAGAGGTGGGTTTTGTTTGGGACTATCAGGCTTTGTGGCTGGGGTGTAGACTTAAACCACCACACAGGGCTTTTCCTTGTGATCTGACTCTTCTGAAACTGGATTCCAAAGGTGAGTGTCTTTGGTGGTGGGAGAGACTGGTAAATACGTATTTTTCAGCAAAGCCTTGGAAGTCACAAGCACTGTTTCTGCTGCATTCTACTGTGCTAGGTTTCAGAGGTAGACTGGACTGTTACTCTGGGGAAAACACATGTAGAACAGAGTAAATATATCTTTACAAGTTTATCTGTAAACATAATTCCCTGAGGCGTATCTGCCTTCTACAAAGACAGTGTTCATTATAGCATGCATCTTCTCTCTTGATCACCTAGGTGTGTCTGTCTGTCTCTGTATTTCTCTCTTTTGAGAAGGGCCCACACTAAGTAGCCCTGACTGGCCTAGAACTCACTGTGTAGACCGGGCTGACCTCAAGCTCAGAACTCCACCTGCACGGGCCTCTGGATTGCTGGGATAGCAGGTGTGTATCATTGTACCCAGCCTGATCAAACCAGTCTTGTTCATCTGGTATTCAGCATTTCACCAGGCCCTTCTTTGGGGAGACTTCAGGGCCATTTGCCACCCCAGACCTGCCCTTTCTGCCTGTCTTGTTTGAAGATGGCTCTGCTAATTGCAGCTTCCCCTCACAATACCCCATAACCTTAGGACACCTGAGACAGGCAAATTTTGGCTTTATTCACCAAGGCTTTTAGAGCAGGGAATTCTTTATTTTGTCCTTTGTGTTCCATTAACCAAAACGCAATCATAAAAGTGGATTCCACATCAAGCTGCCTCTCAAGCATGTGATTTACAAAAAAAATACATTGACACCGTTTGTATTATATCCACTTCTATAGCTCCTCTGGCGCAGGGAGTTTGTGCAACGTTCTTCACCTGAGGACCACGACCCCTTGGGGGATCAAATGACCCTTTCACGGGGCTCACATATCAGCTGTTCTGCATATCAGATATTTACATTACCATTATATTATTACATTATTGCACATTATTACATTACCATTTATATTACATTACCATTCACAACAGCAACATTGCAGTTATGAAGTAGCAATGGAATAATGCTACAGTTGGGAGGTCACCATGACATTAAAGGGTCGCAGCATTGGCAAGGTTGAGAACCACCGCTTTAGCGACTAGAACCTGATGGAAGGTGGTTTCTAGTACAGTGGCAGCTGCACAGGAATACAGGTGTGTGGGCCTGGCAGGCTCTGGTACAGCAAAATGGTGTGCACTTTCTGGAGTGTGTGGCAGAGGGAAAAGTCCTCTGACGTAGGGTCCCTGCCTGAGGTTTTTCTTTGTTTACCTGAGGTCCTGCAGGCAGGTAGAAGCTAAATAAGAGACAGATGTGAGATTATCAACGTGTGTTTTGTGTGCATACTTTTTAAATTACAAGTTAGTTTACCCAAATAAGTCTTTTTTAAAATTATTATTTCTGAGTGAGTGGATGGAGGGGAATTGG